GCTCTGAAAAATGCTAACGCTATGCTTGCAAGGGGTCAATGCGTTGTGAAATGACTACAGACGTCACACGACCTGCGAGCTACAGTGTACAGTAGTGTAGTCCCTGGCTGGGATGAGGCGGCATACATATTATGAAACATAGAACCCGTCAATCCAATAAATGCGACTTTGGCATGCATACATGTCACCGTCTGCCTCAACTGGGCACTCGTGTCGCATGCGGTTGCGTCTCGAATACCTCGACGACAATGACCTCTCGTGGCACCAACGCTGCCTCTTGTCTCGTGCCACAGACTTGGTGCCACCCACCGAGCTAGACGGCCCCGCCCCAAGCCCCGCCATCGCCCCCAAAAAGGGCCAATATATAGCCGCCCAATCCTATTTGCCACTGGAGGCCACCGCAATCTTAGATTTCGTAGTTGACTTCGTTAGGGTACTGTCTCTAGTTTGCCGCTAACCTTTGCCCGCTCAGTGATCTCAATTTTTTTCTATAGTAAACCGTGGGTGTCCCACCGCGAGCACTGCACGCACCGCCAACAGGAGTTGTTTCGAGAATAATGTCCTGTATGCATTTCACAGCAGGACTACTAAGTCCGTACATGGCCCCGAATGCAGCTCATCACTTTGCACGCACACACAGAGATACTTCACAAGCATCGCATTTCGCGGCCCGCACCTAATGCTATGGTGCGTAAGTATACCAAGCCACAAAGCTAACTTTTACATCACACATCACATCACCTGCTAAATGCCTATGTATTGTGTGGTCACACAGCTTGGGCATTGCGTCTCAATGTCCAAGCCGCAAAGCTGAGCAAAACCAACTTGAAGCAATTTGTAGGGTCGTGATTTTACCCAATCAAATGCAGCAGGCCACCTCGCCTACGATTTCCGATGACAATACAATCAATAAAATTGTTCTTTTTTATCCACAATTGATTTCACCAACATCCTATGAGTAATTTTTCCAACAGTGCGCTACGTTACGCTTCTCGGCCATTTGAGCCTTTTGATACTGTTGCTCTTCACGATCAAATTCTAAACGCTCCATTCTAAACCTATGATCATCAAGTTTTTTTCTCGAATTCGAGTAGTTCATCAACCATAGCCTCCAATTGCTCACGTTTGGCCAACACAGGGCGTTGCCGTTTTGATACACGCTGCTCCCCTCGACACATATTTTCGATCCAGTTGATTCCAACGACTCTTTGCGCTTTTGGTCCTTGGACTTCACAGTGGTCTTAAGAGTGTCAGCCGCGTCAACGTCGGACCACCAGGTCTTGCAGAAGTTGAACTTTTCTCCGGCACGATAGCGAATTATTTCAACCAATAACTATCGAGAACGGATTCCACCAATAGGAATCGAGGACCAAAGTGTTGGTGAAAGGCGACGCAGGCAAGTCTGTCTGGTCGCGAGGTAAGGCAGCTCGGTGAGTAGCTGTAACGTTGGCTGATCGACTGCTTAGTGTGTTAGTATAGAAGCTGACTGGACCCAAGGTGTCGGGTGGCGGCAGTGAGGAGTTGTGGCCACAGTAGTGGTTCCATCACTTGTGGGACAATTGTGCAACAACACGCCATTCAAGGCGGATGCGTATGTCGACATCGACCTCAAGATACAAACCAAGGTGGGGCCGGTCAAGATCCCAGGCAAAGCGTGATGCTGTAAGGTAGCAGCGTCTGCTAGCTGTGTACTACTCTGGTCCGGACAAATGTATCGACTTTTTATCTTGATTAAAGTATCGGCGACCGGAAAAATGTCTTGATGTTTGTATTGAACCTTCAAAGTACATAATTGATGGCAAAAATATAATGACTTTTTCATTATATTATGGCTGGCAACTAGTACTCGGATTTGGGAATTCATTTTAGCTGCTCAGGTGAGCAAGAGCCTTTTCATACATTATACAATGTCAAGTCCTTGATTGTAGCATCTTTCCTCGTACGAGGAAGCTCATAGGCATTTCTACCCAATGCACCAAGTGTCAATTCCATCACCTTTTGCAAAGTAATGAATTTTTTTGATAACGTGATCGACCAGTGATGTGCCGATTTATTTCATCCAATTAAATCGTTCGAGCTGTATTATTGGACAAAAGAGAACCTCTCATGCCAATAATCTTGTAAAAGTTTATGGTGGGAAAAATTATTATATGTAAAAGGTTTTCGAGTTTGAATTGACATCCAAATGCCGCCTCGACGCCGTACACTGACCACACCCTGAGAGCAGCCGTTCACAGTCCTATCCAAAGCCCATTAGGTAGAGTAATTATCCACACGAATTTTCCAATACAATTTCCCTGAAAATCCTTCGGGGAATACCGGTACAAGTAAGCAGAACTACCGCTGTGTTTGTTGTTGCAGCACTTCTGGAGCACCTACCAGTACTGTAGTGCACGCCTCGCAATGTTACCACATATCAACAACCCTGTGTACAGTACTGTACTGCACTCCAGGAGTAGTACCGTGGTAGGTAGGTACAATGAATGCGTGCAGTTTGTGATCTTGCACCATCCCCATTTGCTGTACGGTACTAGTACACTGTAGTGTGCGTGGTACCGACGTACAAACATGGCCGCTTTGACGAGGTCGATAAACACAAGGATAGGATGTACTTGTTGGCTGGTTTACGTTCGGCACTATTCCACCGCTCGCCTACGTTATCGTCGCTCATCTACTAGTACGTCCTACATACTGTACCGCTCATCTACGTTTGGTTCTTTCCTCGTCCCTCTTGACAGGACACTTCGAAAACATGTGGGTAATTGACCGCCTGCTGAACATTGCCACGTGGTACGGTTTTGTGTCCGAAAAAGTGAGAATGTGCAGTACAGTTCCGCAATATCTTATTCCTGTTGAAATATAATATACCTTTATCATTTGATAATTTCCAGTCTGCTCGCCTGTTTTTTACACAACCCTAATCGATACTTACACTGTTAATTCAAGTATAAAATTCGGCCCATCACTGGTCGTCAATGTAAATTTTGCAACTTGCGAAATTATTTACGTCATCGCGAACTGTCTAAATCCATTGTGTTTAGGTGTATGTGACAGATCTTGGCGTGCTCTTTCAGATTACGTCCAACACATCGCTATAGGATAAATACTTCATGAGGAATTCACGAAAGAAAAAAGAAAAAAATCGGCCCATCACTGGTCGATCACGTTAATGTATCACGAGGCAGCTCATCAAAAGAGCTTTCTACAGCACCAATTAGTTCCTCAATGGTTCGAGTACACTTTTTTGGTTTTGTAGACTTTGAATCGAATTAAAATATCCTAAATCCAAGACATTAAAGTCTGGACTATTAGGAGGTTGATTCGCAGCCTCGATGCCATTAACACGAGCAGCATTTGCGTCGTCACACTATTATGTGGACTCGCATTACTGTATCTTGCTGCAAATATATTATTTTAGTCTGATCCTGTCGAGGCATTTTTGCCTTGATTGCAGGGATGGCCTTTTGAATAAGAATTCTACGGTACACATCTGCTGTCACACTTTCTTGTACTGTCAACGGCGTACCCTTCGGGCGATTTGGACTGTTTCTTTTGGCTATCACCGTCTCGACAAAGGGCCAAATTCCAATCTTCCCATCGAAGAGGCACTTCTTGTAGGGGTCGTATCGAGGCGTGGCGACGGCAACAAGGAACATAACCTTTGGAATAAATCGTTTTGACATGAGTTGACGTTTGGGGAGCCCTTTCGTCGTCGTAGGCGTAAAAACACTTCTTGATTGTCGTCAAATAGAACCATTTTTCATCAACATGAACATATGAGTTCATGCTGTCGAAAATAGTTCCATTCGACGATAGTTGGGGAAATTCAACGCATGCTTCATCCGAGTGATCATGTTAGGTTTGGAGTGGTTGGACTTGAGTTTGAGCGTCTTTGCACACTCCATGTGCCGAATAATTGTTGTCTTGGATATTCCGGAACGAGCTGAAATAGATCGCAGGGTCTGGCGCTTGTGTAGGGAACGAATCGCACGTTCAATTTCGTCGTCCGACATCACGCGCTTGCCGTTGTGATTTCCTAAAATCAGTTACCTTTCGGAATTAATACTTGCGTCAGTCATCGAAATATTTTATAGAGTTTCACTTTTGTATTTTGCTGATACGTCGGCAGTCGAGCTGCCATGGCGGATGGAGAGGCGGCCACGGGCCCACACGTTGGATATCGTCTTTAATGTGCATGCGAAAAGCCGAGCATTTTGTGAGATACATCCATGTGGCAGTTCTCCATCCACAGTTCTTTCAAGAAGAGTTTCGTAGATGGATTGCCTCTGGACATCGGTTAGCTTCTTGTTGCTAGTACAGGGGTTCCCAACAGCTGGGGAGCGCGTCGACGGCATAGATGCAAGTAAACTGGTGTGAACAAGTAATGCAACGAGGAGCAGTTGCACGCCACGGCGATCTCCGTGTATCAACGCCTCCACTCGTTCAAGTTCCGACCCCACGCATCTCTGGATGTGAATCTCCAAGCCATCGACAAGCTGCGTACAGAGGTGGAAAACCTGCTGGAAGGGCACCCCCTCAGTGACAGCCACCTCGCTTCCGCGCTCTTGAAGGTGCTGCCCACGTGCATCATGCAAGACTACTACATGTGGCCGAGTATCCCATACCAGGATATGCGACGCTTGTTGGAGAAGCACAGGCCAGACGTGACGCTCAAGTATCCGTCGATCCTGGGACCAGCATCAATAGCCCTCACTGTACCGGTCCATGGCTCAGCAACCGCGACCGCGATAACGCGGTCTAGAGCATTGGCCCTTCCGGCCTTTCGCGCTGGCTCGCGCCATCGCGACGGCTACGGACAAGCGGGCGCTGTACCCTGGGGGACCAAGATCCCATGACGGATTGGTGTGGCTACTGCCTGTCCTCAGGCAGCCACTCGACGTACACCTGTATAAAGCTTTCCCGGGCGTTGCCAGAACGCGGTGCGTCAAGACTTTGTGTTTCCACCAGGATGGGCTGCCGTCCCACCTGGCGAATACCCCCCAAGTGGTGGCGGTCGACGCACTCAAGGCGGACCAAGCGGCCACCGCGGTGGCAAACGCCACGTCAAATGCGGCGGGCGTGGTGGAGGAATCGTGACATCCTTCCTCAACACTATTCGCCAAGGTTACGCAGCAAGCGGTCCACCAGGCTACGCCAGCATGGACAAGGCGGCCATTCCGGCTACGCCAGTTACAACTACGGCCATTATCGCGATGATCAACGCGGCCGTAGCCCGTTTCGTCAGTCGGCCTCCCGCTATCGCAGTCGCTCAGGCGACCGGTACCGCGAGAACCGCTGGTATTGCCGCGACGACCGCGGGTCTTACCGCCCCGACAGCGGCGCCAACCAAGACGACCGGCGCCATCGCAGCCAAAGCTGCAGCGCGTCGCGCGGCTTTACCCGTACGTTAGTGTCTCAGAATACACGTCAACAAAGTGACCATACTTATATTTATGCCTTCACGCACACATGCCAGCATTTATGCCTCGACATTTTTTAGATGAACAACATTCACATGTTTCATTTACGGGGCTACAACAGTCGACCGACAAGTCAAGTACATTCAAAGTACTTTCCACATTATTACATGACTTCAGTCCGTACTACGATTCGCTCGATACTACTGTATCGCGATCACTCGTAGTTACGGGTACTGGAGGGGCACTTCGCGTGTCACCAACCAGCCCGGCTGTCAAAGAGCAAAGTCGATCCCGTCACTGGACGGTAGGTAGTGGCCTGTGGACGAGCGGCGTATGGGCATCCTCGTCACCATGGCTCGCTCCATGCTACTGCATGGTAATTTACCACAGTTCTTGTGGGGCGAAGCCATATCCCACGCAGTGTTCCTCATGAATATCCTGCCGTCCACCACCATCAGTGGGGACACTCCGTATCGTCTATGGCACCAGAGCCACCCATACTATGCACGTTTACGCGTATTTGACTGTGTAGCATACGCACACGTCAACATACCCATGCGTGTGAACAAGCTTTTTTCCTGAGGCATGCTGTGCATGAACGTTGGCTTACCCGAGACATCTCGAGAGTTCAAGCTACTGAACCTCGACACACATTACGTGCTTACGAGCCGCGATGTGACGTTCGTCGAACATCAGTTTCACCTCCTGAAATCAGTCGAGGACGTGAAATGTCTTCGAAGTGAACATCCACAGCAGGAACTGTTTCGCCGTGGACCAAAGTCCAGCACCCCTCCAACCAAGCTTGCCTTCACCCCTTGGGGAGGCTGCGTCGTCCACAAAACCAACACCTCTACCCTCGTTTGGGGAGGCCTTTTCATGGACGACACCTCAACCCTCATTTGGGGAGGCCATGACATCCGCGCCGCCTGATTGGGGGAAGCTGGGACTTCAGCGCCCCCTTACTTGGGGAGGCTGATACGACCCCACCTGTACGCACACTTCGTGGGTCAACAGGTACAGTGTGGCAAGTCCCTGTCGTACATGACGTACCAGACATCACTCCACCTGCCCGTTTGGGTGGCATCATTCGCCACCCCTCACATCAGTAGTCCACAACTCCGACGCCCAAGCGTCGTCGAACGTTGACCTTCAAACACAACGGAGGAATATTTCCCCATACCATGTACCTTGTTCCACGAGAAGTACAGTCTGCCGTACTCCGGCATGTGTGAGTACGACATCCACCTCCACTCCAACGTCGTCACATACGACAACCCAGTTGCTCGCGATTCCGCCTCGGCCCTCACGGTGTCGAGCAGCGGCGATAGCACATGTCGTACGACGTCTCATCGACGTCTACCACACTGGACACGGCGGACACGTCCACACGACGGTCCAGCTCAGTTGCTTATGTCGTATATTGAGGACGCCTCAGGCGCTCAATCTCTCTCAACACAGAAACACATCCTCCTCGACCTCAAGGACACGACTCCTCCAGAGGAGCCTACGACCTAGAAACAGGCGATGAAATCACCAGCCAAAGCGCAATGGCTTGAAGTCATCGTGCTCGAGCTGGTAGTCCGTGAGGCGAACGGGTCGTTCGAACCAGCCACCTTGCCTCCAGATGCAACACCACTGGGCATGCGTTGGGTGTTCAAAATGAAATACGACGACTCGGCCACAGAGGCTACGAGACGCGACGCTCGCTACAAAGCGCGACTTGTGATCCAAGGACACACCCAAATTCAAGGCGTTGACTACGAGGAGAGTTACTCTCCGGTCATTGCCAAAGAAATCCTCCGAACGATAATTACTCTCGGCGCGTCTCTTGACTGCGACATCGACGCAATGGATGTAATCACAGCCTTTCTCAACGGAGAAATCGACTGTGAGGTCTACGTCAAACATCCACCTGGATTTGACACCGCGAAGAATCGCCGCGATGTCTTTCGGGTCCTCCGCAGTGTTTATGGTGTCAAGCAAGCCCCACGCATGTGGTATCAGACACTAGCTACCTACTTCTAGCTACCTACAGAGGTCTTCACCAAGCAGATGGACGGCCAAGCAGATGGACGGCCAAGCCGTTTACATCGACGTCTACGTTGACGACCTGGTCATCATGGCTCCTTCACCGGACATGATGCGCACCATCAAACATGACCTTGGGGTTCTCACTTTTATTCTCGGATTCCACATTGTTCGAGATTATTCTGCTCGAACTCTCACAATGCACCAATCCCAATATGCAACCTCGATCCTCAAGAGGTTCAGCATGGAGAATTCAAAACCAACTGTCTGAGTCGATGTGTCCTCAGAACAATGCTGAACGTCGGTACATGGAGGACAAGCCGTACCGATCGGTAGTCGGCAGTTGCATATATATCATGATTAGCACTCGACCCGACCTCGCGTACGTCGTCGAACAACTGAGCCAGTTCCTCACGAACCCCGGCCTTGTCCACTGGCAGGCAGCCAAGCGCGCCCTCCGGTACACCCAGAGGAACGATCGACTACGGTCACGTCGTCGGCGGTGCGTACGATCACACCGCTCTGCTTCATGCGTATGCGGACAGTGACTACGCTAACTGTATTGATACCCAGCGCTGCGTCGCGAGCTTCGTGTCAATTTATCGGAACTCTGCGATCTCTTGGATCGCTTAGAGGCTGCGGAGCATCATCCTCTCGACAACCGAGGCAGAACTCGTGATTCTGTGCACACTTGCACAAGAATGTCTGTACATCATGCAGGCAGTTGGTGAGATAGGACATCCCATCACCACATCGATTCCTCTTCACGAGGACAATCAGAGCACCATCCAGATCGTGAACAACTGGCCGCCATTGTCCTACCAAACATATTGATGTACGCTACCAAGCAAGCGCTTTCATCAAAGACCTTGTGGAACAACAGACATTTAGTCTTGTTTACACCGATACGCGACATCAAGTCGCGGATATCTTTACCAAACCACTTGATGTAGCAACGTTCTGCGCTTTGCGCAGTCAACTAAGGGTGTGGCATCTGTGACCCGACAGCACCCTCCGGCGCGAGCCAGGGAGCACGAACTCGGCCTCTCAGCCCGTGACTGCGCCATGATGCAAGGTGGACGCCCTGAACCATGTTGGTTCGACATCGTGGGGTGACGGAATCCCGGTGGTTACTCGATCCATCCGGCCCTTCTACGGCGCGTCGTTTGGAAAGGGCCAATTGGTAGGGACTCGCTGAAAATAATGTCCGACGAGTTGAGTGCCGGGCAAAAGATGGTGTAACCAGTGGTTGGTTAACGCTCACTGAGTTTAACTTCCAACATCTTGCTGCACTCTGACCACCTGATTCCTGTTGACAGTGCTGTTGGCAGGCGGACGAACACCCTGTTCTGTTAGAAAGCATCCCCACTGCCCTATCAGTCAGGTAGCAGCGTCTGCTAGCTGTGTAGGAGGTGTTTGTGCCTTCTCGAGGCTTTTCCTCAGTGTAGGAGACATCGCAGACTCGTCACAGAACATCACAGGATGTCATGGCCAATCATACTCTAGGATTTGATTGGCTGTTGGAGGAACTGACACATCTAGAGAGCCAGTTTCTACTCTGCCATCAGAACTAATTCACTCTCAGTTCTTCCTCCACCTACTCACGTGTCTGCTGCTCTGCTGCTGCTTCTTACCCTTCCAACTGTACGCCTCCTATATCGACTGTGTTGTTAGTTGGTCTGACTGACTGTAACTTTTGCGAGGTGATCATATGAAACAGACCATGCAGCCATCCATCCCTTCGTCCGACGATACGCGGTTGTCTGCTCGGTGAAAAGCCAGGGCAGAATTCGTCGATAACGGTACGTAACGTTAGTTTGATGTACTGGTAGTATCGAATATTGATACCTCGCTGGATATCGTAGGCTGCGAGGCTGATGCCGTCGCAGTGTCCTCGATCGATGTCCAACGAGGTAGCAAAGTCGAGGTACCTGCATATGATCTGATAAAAGACTTTTAATCCATCAACGGAGGCGACTCTGCTCCGGGGTTACCTAAAGCAGAGTCGCTTGCATTATGTTGCTATACAGTGGGTTCTAGAGCGACGTCGACGAACCTACTACTGTAGTATGCTAGAGTGGTTTATAGTACCGAGTCAATAATGCATTTGTTCACCAATAAGAAATGTATTTGGTTATGCATGGCCACCGCTCTTTGCTTGCATCACGACGGAACATGCTTATAAAAGCATCACAGATGACACCACATGTATGACTTGGTGTTGGTGTGAACCCCGAAACCCCGAAACCCCTTGGTTGCTGTGAATAACCGAGATGATTTCACTGGACACGAAGTTTGCCATCGGAAAGTACGTACCGGATATTTCCTCCGGATATAATTCCATCTTGCTCCTGCTTTGGAGCTGGTGGGTGTGCTTGTTGTACAGCCACCACTCGTTGATGCTGCCTGTCTTGGGTTTTCGTCTCGGTCTTTTCACCGAACAGGCTAGGGGATATCCTGTTGGGAAGTTAGCTATAGGAAGAATTCACATTTACAGTTAAGTAGAACTACCTCTGTGATCGTTGTTGCGGCGCTTCTGGAGCACCTAACGGTAATGCACGACTCACAATCTTTACACATATCAACAACCCTGTGAAGTAGGTACAATGTGTGCAGTTTGTGACTTTGAACCACCCCGATAGGCTGTAGTGTGCATCGTGCTGACGTACAGTACAAACATGACCGCTTAGACGAGGTCGATGAACACAGGGATATGACGTATCTGTTGGCTGGTTCACGTTCGGCACTATCCCACAGCTTGCCTACTGTGTTGTTTCCCACGCCAGTTCCAACACAAACAACCAAATGGGGGAGTGCCGACTCCTTGCAAACCGCACACTTGATTGACTTGATGTTACCACGGCGTTGCAGAACCTAGAGTGAGATTCCGGCAGTTGGCTGGGACAGGTGTTCTGTTTTCTACGTCCTAGTACTATTAGTAATACTACTAGTAATACTATGCCTGTTCGTGTCGGTTCGCCAAGGGTCGGTACCCGGTGGCCTCGGTTGAGGACCACCTGTGTCATGGCGGGACTTGGATTAAGTCGCCCACCACAACACCCCCCCAAAGCATGTCCCGCAGGACACACTTGGGCCTCGCTAATTCTTCGCCCTCGCTCGCTTCATTGCCTTGCGCAACGCATCGCCTTCGCTCGCTGTCTTCACGCCTTCAACGTAGTTCTTCACCACGGCCGGGCATTCATACATGAGCTTCTGCAGCGGTTCCCATGAGGACTCGATATCTTCAAAACCTTCCCAAAGCACTTGCAGCATGAAGTCTTTCACATCCGGGACAAACTTGTGTCCCGCGATGGACTTGACCTTCAGCATGATCCCTTTCTCGGAAACGTGTTCGAGGATTTCTTCGGTCACTTCAAAGCTGTCTTCGGCGTAGAGCTTGACTCTTGACGCGTGTGCTTCCCGCAGTTCATGAGTCACCAAGTGCTCCAACACGACGGAGAATTCGCCCACTTCCTTGACTCGGTAGGGCCGTCCAGGTTACGAGCAGCTTAGGGTG